GAGCGTGCCGGTGCCGTGCCGGAGCCAGCTCCACGGCGAGAAGGGCATCTCCATCCCTGACCACGGCTTCTGCCAACCCATCTCCATCCCGCTCTGCACCGACATCGCCTACAACCAGACCATCATGCCCAACCTGCTGGGTCACACCAACCAGGAGGACGCGGGGTTGGAGGTCCACCAGTTCTACCCCTTGGTGAAGGTCCAATGCTCGTTGGAGCTCAAGTTCTTCCTCTGCTCCATGTACGCGCCGGTCTGCACGGTGCTGGAGCAGGCCATCCCGCCATGCCGCTCCATCTGCGAGCGGGCACGCCAGGGCTGCGAAGCCCTCATGAATAAATTCGGTTTCCAATGGCCGGAGCGATTACGTTGTGAGAACTTCCCCCGGCACGGCGCCGAGCAGATCTGCGTGGGGCAGAACCATTCGGAAGACGGCGGTTCGCCGGCGTTGCTCACCAGTGCCACACCGTTGGCTGGCCAGGGCACCCCAGGCGCCCCTCGTTATGCCACTCTTGACCACCCCTTCCACTGCCCGCGGGCACTGAAGGTGCCCAGCTACCTCAACTACAAGTTCTTGGGCGAGAAGGACTGCGCGGCGCCCTGCGAGCCCACCCGGCCTGATGGCCACATGTTCTTCAACGAGGACGAGATCCGTTTCGCCCGTATCTGGATCCTCATCTGGTCCGTCTTGTGTTGTGCCTCCACCTTCTTCACCGTCACCACTTACCTGGTGGACATGCAGCGTTTCCGCTACCCCGAGAGACCCATCATCTTCCTCTCGGGCTGCTACACCATGGTGTCGGTGGCCTACATCGCCGGCTTCGTGCTGGAGGAGAGAGTGGTCTGCAACGAGCGTTTCCAGGAGGATGGCTACCGCACGGTGGTCCAGGGTACCAAGAAGGAAGGTTGCACCATCCTCTTCATGATGCTCTACTTCTTCAGCATGGCCAGCTCCATCTGGTGGGTCATCCTCTCCCTCACCTGGTTCCTGGCCGCCGGCATGAAGTGGGGCCACGAGGCCATCGAGGCCAACTCCCAGTACTTCCACTTGGCTGCCTGGGCCGTGCCGGCTGTCAAGACCATCACCATCCTGGCCATGGGGCAGATCGACGGGGACCTGCTGAGCGGCGTCTGCTTCGTGGGCCTCAACAACATTGACCCTCTCCGGGGCTTCGTGTTGGCCCCGCTCTTCGTCTACCTCTTCATCGGTACCTCCTTCCTCCTGGCCGGCTTCGTCTCCCTCTTCCGCATCCGCACCATCATGAAACACGGAGGCACCAAAACGGAGAAGCTGGAGCGCTTGATGGTTCGCATCGGAGTCTTCAGCGTCCTCTACACCGTCCCGGCCACCATCGTCATCGCTTGCTATTTCTACGAGCAGGCGTTCCGCGAGCACTGGGAGCGCAGCTGGATCAGCCAGAACTGCA